TGCTCAAGCGCTCCTCTTTGTGCCAATCACAACAGGCTTGGCCAGCTGACCAATCAGAGCAGAGTAGGCTTATGGAAAATAGGGGTTTACAGACATTTCGCTCAGAACTGAATCGAACGAACCATTTCGAAATCTTGGACAAATGACTCTATGTATAAATATATATTCTGGGAAAATTACAGTGTTTTCTGACCTTAGATGCATTTAAACCTGTTGTAGGGGACTCCAACACAATATTAAGACACTTTAAAAAAACCATATGACCTGCTCTTTAAATAGTTTTTTATTTATTTATTTATTTTATTTTATATTGGTTTGTAATTAATTCATCGTTCTGCTCAGGATTACCTCCTCACATGGGTCATCACCCTGGCATACTCCACATGGCTCAGGCCCCTCCTACTACCACCCGGCCAGCTGTGCCTGCCACCACAGTATCCACGCCACAGCCGAGTGTCTCCAAGCCACTATTTCCCAGTGCAGGACAGGTATGATGCCCTTTCTCCCTACCATAGAAAAACATGGTATAGAACCTTTTTGCCACTAAGAAACTGCTAATAAGTTTCACAAATAACAAAGAAATGGCAAGTAACACATTGAATTTTCTGTGAAATTTTGAAGTTGAAAGAATTGTCTTGTAAAATATTACTTTTGTTTCAAAAAATCAGTTTGAAAGGCATCTGAATAAATTTAAATGGTTTATATTTCTCTTTCAGGGACTGATTAGACTCTGGCCATACAGTATTTTTCTTTGGTTATGAGTTTTTTTCACCATCAATTATTTGGTTAGGAAGAGAGAGCAGGGAAGTGCAGTACAGTGAAGACCTAAAATAATCTGAAAAACAGGAAAAAACTAATGTAAATGCTTGAATACGACTGTCTCCTCAAACAGATTCAAAATACCTGAATGCATAAGTTCCATTGTGTGTATGGTTACCAGAGCTCTTTTATAATAAGATCTCTGTTTACATACGTTTTTCTTGTTATGAACATGCATGTTTATTTATGTCTTATGAACTGGTCAGTGGGGGAGAATATTTACGAAATATTTGCTAAAATAAAGCTCTTCTGACATATTTGTCAGCTTCCCTTTTAAGTATGTCATTAAGACAAAAACAAGTTATACTCTCAGTAGCTCTGGGGGTATTCCAGAAAGCAGGTTATGTGACATACCCGGGTACGTTTAAGGGTAAGTAAGAGGATAAACTCAGCTTTCGGTTCCAAAAATGGAGGTAACTTTCAGGGTATGTAAGTAGCCATAGCAACTTACTCCTTGACCACAAGCTGCTCCGGAGCAGATTCTGTTTCAGGCTTAGTTTACTTCAGCTCTATCAGCACATGCGCTGACCTATTGATGAGACTCCAGTAGGCCTGGCAGATTGAGCACAATATTAAATATTATTACAATATAGTTATATAATATACAGTAATATTTATTGTTAAACAATTTGAACTAATACCCTGACAGGACCAGCAGTTAAAAAAAAAAACTCTTGTTAAACCCTATGAGACCAAGTTATGAAAACTGATTTGTGGGCTGTATTAATGGATGAACTTTTAATGCTTGAGGATCCATAAAAAAAAAAGAGATGGTCGTTTTAAACAAACTGAGGTTCAGTGTTAAGTGTGTTGATGATAGTTTTGGTGAGCAACAGTCATGTCCGGAATCAAACAGCTGAGGGTCTTTATTGTGTGCTCTCTCTCCATCCTGCAGATGGGGACTCGAGCTCCAAGCACAAGCTCAGGCTCCTCCAGTCTGGACAATTTGTCAGCATCCTCTAAACCGCTGTCCCAAGTATGCAGTAGCTTGCTGACTCGGCGAAAGAGCTGCTTCATAAAACTATTGATGGCATGTAACAGCAGATAGACCTCAGACTGCCTCTTAGAATAATTGACTTTGCTCTAGGGGACGTCTGTAGTGCTTCAGAAGAGTTGAAAGAGATTGATCTCAGTTGAGACCGAGAATTGATAAACGGCTTAATTCTCTCTTTTAAACTCAGACTGTTTCTCTCTCTTCTGGTTTTTAATTGTGTAAAATTAAAAGCCCAATACTTTTATGTAGGCCCCAAAAAGTATTGGGATACTTGATCATGATCCACCTAAAGCCTAACAAACCTAGTTTTGTTAGGGATGCACTGATATTAAAATTCAGTTTAATACTGATCAGACTGAATGCTATGGCTGATATTAATTCTAATCTGTTTTTTTAAATAAAAAATAAGTCAACTAACTGAAATCAATAGTTTTTAATGCTACAAGTGAATTTACATCACACCTTTAGAATAAACTGTATGAAATGTACAGTGTTATGAAATTATTAGTGTTTTTAAATATTGACTTTGAATATTGGACAGCTTTGGTAATAATGAGTATGTACAATTCAGCCAGTAACTGACTTGTACCACTTATATCGTGCATCTCAAATGTTTGCCTGAAAAGTGTGCTTGTTCTTTATTTCTAGATAAAGTAAATGACAAAACCTCAAATCAAGTGTTATGTTGGGCAAAATGCACCTAAATGCAGAATTAGTTGAATCACTGAATGTATCTGATTTGCTCCTTGGTCTCTTTCTGCAGGTCCAGCAGGCTGGTTCTGGTGTAGCGGTGAGCTCCTCTGCACCACCTTCTGCTGCTCCCAAACCAACATTCCCAGCTTACACCCAGTCCTCCGCCACTGCTGCGGCCAACACGAGCAGCACTGTGGCCAAACCGGGCACCCCAGTCACAAGTAAGCCTGCCACCCTCACCACCACCAGTGCAACCAGTAAGTTGATCCACCCTGATGAAGATATATCACTGGTAAGTGAACTTGTTTCTGTGCTTTGATCTTTAACCTTTGCAGAAATAACTGGTCATTCGATAAAACACCTGTTTGATTATTCCAGACTGTCTTGTTCCAAACCTGAGACTTTTCTTCTGCGGAACATAGATTTGAATAATGCTTTTGTCCATACATTGAAAGTCAATGCCACCAGAACAACACTAGACCACACTGACTTACTTTCTTGACAAAATCTTTTGCGTTCCACAAAAGAAAGCAAGCAAAAAAAGCCCATATTTATGTCTTACCAGTTTGTGCATTTTGTGTTTGACAGGAGGAGTTGCGAGCACAGCTGCCTCGCTACCAGTGTAAAATCCCTAGTGCAGGACAGACCCACGTAACTTCCCCTCCAGTTGCACCAATGGGAGGTGTGTTGCCCCCTCAGCAGGGCATTCCTGTACAACAGCCAGGTGTTAGGCATCCCATGCAAGGTATTTCAAAATAAGAGAGGAAATGTCTTGTTACATTACTGTTTATAAGTTTGGGGGCGGTGAGATATTTAACACTTTTATTCAGCAAGGATGCAATTAAATTGATCAAAAGTGAGAGTAAATGCATTGAGAATGTTAAAAAGGATTTTTATTTCAAATAAATGCTGTTCTTTTTAACTTTATATTCGTCACAAAATCCTGAAAAAAGACAGTTTCCATGAAATATTAAGCAGCACAACTGTTTTCAACATAAGAAATGTTTCTTGAGCAGCAAATCAAGATATTAGAATGATTTCTGAAGAATCATGTGACACTGAAAACTGGAGTAATGACTGCTGAAAATTCAGCTTTGCCATCACAGGAATAAATCGCATTTTAAAGTATATTAAAATAGAAAACTGATATTTTAAATTTGAATAATATGTCACAATATTACTGTTTTTACTGTATTTGTGATCAACTAAATGCAGCTTTAATGAGCATAAGAGACTTCTAAATAATTAAACAGTCTGACCAACCAACCAGCTTTTGAGTGGTAGTGTATATTAGTGAAGAATAACAGCGTAAGATAAAACCTGATTTTTTAAAAATTTGAATCATTGTTTCAAATGCAACGAATCTATTTCCTCTCATGTAGGGCCATATGGTGCTCCGCCGCAGGGAGTGCCTGGGTACGTCGCAGGAGGAATGCCTCCTTACGGTCAAGCCCCACCCATGGTCCCTCCCTTCCAGGCCGCTCCCCCTCGGCCCGCCATTGGCATGAGACCCCCTGTAATGTCTCCTGGAGGCCGATATTGAAGCGTCACTACTGGTCTTCATTAGGTTTGGTGATTCAACCATTTTACCATCTAGTGGCGTGCTTTACAATCCAGATCAGTAACCGTAACCCTTCTTGCAATGAGGAGATGGAGTAATCAAACTGTATAGCGCATGGGACATTTAATTTTGTCAAGTCTATTATTTGGACCTACCCTTTGTTGCAGATCATGCAGTGTGGCTTTTTTCTCATGTTTTGTTTAGGTTTTTAGAAGTGAAGTGTAGTAAATATGGTTCGTATTAATTTGAAGCGGCTGGAGTTTCGTACAGCACCTTTATCAAGGCAAGTCACTGTAAATATACTACTGTACTAAAAGTGTGAAGCCTTCGCAGCACCCATAGGTGCTGTTGGGCATCCTGTCCCCAGCGTTGCTTGGTGAGGGCTTCAGATAGCTGTCACTGTTGGATTTATTTTTCTATGTCTGCTTGTCTACAATTACAGTGTTCTCTCTGTAGGGCCAATAACAAAAGGACTCCTGTGAATGCTATCTGTACTGTTCCACTATGAATTGTAATAAACTATTGAAATCTAACGGCTGTTTTTTCATTAGCAAGTAAAGGACAACCTCACAAGGTTTGTACTACAAATGATCCACACGATGGCTGTTATTTGTATGAAAGCTGTGTTTGCAGTGTGCTGGAATGTGTTTGTGGGTGAGAGGAAAACTGAAGCATTTGCATCCACGTTCCTTTCATATTAAAGTTTGGATTTAAAGGGGTCAAATAATGAGCAATCAAGTTTTCCTTGATCTTTTAAGGTAAATTAGTTTTGTACCATGTCAATTTGATGTAACTGTTACAATTCAAATCATCCTCCTCAGTCCAAAAAGACCGCCACGATAACATCTCACAACTTCTGACATCAGTGAACAACAGACAAACTAACAATAGAAAACTGGCTGAAGGTCCCCGATTATTTTAGTCTGATCCTAATAGTTTGTTCTGCAACAGAAAGTGACAAGGCGATAAATGGAAAAAACTAATTACGACTATTTTCGATGGGAAAAAATAATGTAGTGAACATCGGAAGTAAATGTATGATGACCCCTTTAAATTTTCAGCTTCTTATGCAAGGACATATGGCTGCTAGATAAAAAGAAAAACAACCATTCAGATAGCAGTCTTCCTGAAAATCACAGTCTTCTGAGAGGGATTGAAATAACGCTTGTGAACCTGAGAATCATTTATGTACAGGCTACAGCTCATTACTTGTGATTTTCAGGAAGAGGCAGGTAAGAAAGTGACTGTAGTTCACTGTGGTTGTTGTCCTAAACTGAGGATTTCTCTTCTCCTTGTAGCAATGCCATGGGACTGGCTGAGGCAGAGTCTCAGTGTTGCCCTGCACAGGCTGAGGCAAGTCTCACATTTTCTCTCTTTACTCTGTGTATTCAGGGTAGAGGTCTTCACGGGTCCACTTGGATCCGGAAAACCCGAGCGGGTTCGGGTCTAAAACTCAGAGTACCTCGGACACGGGTCGGGTTCGGTATTAGTGGTCTCGGGGAATTTAAAATAAACATGCTTTTTCCAAATGGACCCGATCAGACCCCAATTCTTCTATCCATTCTATCCCGAATGCGTAGGCTACTTTCACTTTCGTGTTAAGTGAGGAACGCACAAAAAAGGAGCATATGTTTGTAACCTCGCACACAGAAATCATCTTATAGATATGAGATCCATCAGGAAAATCCACTCGCTTCATTATGCTGCGTGTTCATACAGGGCTTTTCTTTTTTGTGTGCAGAAGCTTTCGCCAGAGATCAGGTTGCAGACAACCCTAACAAATCCATGAATTATTACGCTACCGATTTATATTTTTTATCAAACTATCACGTTTATTTTTCAAATCCACTGGTCACAATTGAAAGCCGAGCTCAGAAATAACTTGTATCAGGCAGGCACTAATATAAAGTAGCTTAATAATAAATTGAATAAATGTTAAATAAATCAAAGTAATGGAGAAGCGGCCAAAGCAGTGAGCAGGACACCGAGATTTTTCCTGATTGACTGCGGGGCTGCAGGCTGTACACACGTCAATACCGTTTGCGTTGGGGTCCAGTCGGGTTCGAAATTAAATGCCGTCAGACTCTGGTCGTGTTTTTCCTTTAAAAAAAATTAATTTATGCACGTCGGGTTCGGGTAAGAAGTGATTCGGTTCGGGTACAGATTTTAGGACCCGAGAAGACCTCTAATTCAGGGGGCCTCACAGCCATTTGGAGCAAGTTTGGTGATGGCCCCTGGGTTTATTAATATCAGGGGAGTTCTCTTAACTAACTCATAGTTTTAGCTAACATGTTAAAAATACACACACGCTTCAAAAGTTTGAGGTCAGTAAGATTTGTAATGTTTCTTCAGCAGCAAATCCGCATATTAGAATGATTTCTGAAAGATCATGTGACACTGAAGACTGGAGTAATGATGCTGAACATTCAGCTTTGACAACACTGGGATCAATTAAATTTGAACCTGTATTCAAATAGAAAAGTTACTTCAAATTGCAATAATATTTCACAATATTGCTGTTTTTACTGTATTTTAATTAACTAAATACAGCCTCGGTGAGTATGAGACTTCTTTCAAAAACATTTAAAAAATCTTACCAGCCTCAATCTTTTGAACGGGAGTGTATATTAAAGTAATATGTTGAGTTGTTTTCAACCACATCTGTGGCAGACTATGATTCTGACTCATCTCTCAGTTTGTAAGAAACAAATGGGAAATGGATATGCATTAATTACAATGAAAGTTTAGCAGTTATTCAAACTAAGCCTTTAGAAAAAGCAACTTTCTCATAAACATGACACATTACACTGAAAAAAATGTTTAATTCATCCAATTAAAAAAAAGTTAGGGTAATGATTCACATCTATATTTTTTAACTCGAGCTAATGAAAAATAAATAACTTGCCCTTAATTGGATGAATGAAACATTTTTTTCAGTGTAGCATTATACTTGGTGTGCTAACCAAAAGTATGTGTGCAGTTACATGGAGTGGATGTCTTTAAACTCCACCACAAGAATTATGTTCATAAAACACAAGAAGCTCTTCCGCCTTACAAACTGAAAGATGAGGTTAAATTATTCAGCGAGCCTCAGATTCTTTCCTTGAGCATTGTTGAAAATCCAGAATATTCATTTAAATCTGAGGTAAGATATTTATATATATATATATATATATAGTGTGTGTGCTTTTGATACATCATAGAAGTTTCATAATAAGAAATAATGCAGTTGAGCAGTAGCACTGAGGAGTAATGTGTGATTTGTTAAACAAGCTCTTCCATTGGTTTTGGAAAAGGTTGGCATGTTTTTTGGCACTAAAGTTGTGTTTAATGGATTTCTGTCCACAGTTTGGCTTTGATATCAATCAACTAGGTTTCATTTAGCATCTAGCCAAATATATGAATCAGGTGGTTTTGTGTTTTGTAAAGTACTGTCTGTGAGTAGTTTGTGGTTATGTTTCTTTTATCTGCCCAGTTGCTATATTCATTTACTCTTGATTTTTTTAACGGAAATCCAAGACCCCCTTTAGAGGTTAGACTGAGTAGATATAATTACTCTGAATTTGTAATCTCTGTTTACCTGCTGTTGATGGATTTGGTTAAATACAAGAGTTCCTGTTCACTTTCAAATAGTTCTTTGCCTGAGTAAGTCGACTGGTAAGTTTACAACTTGTATGTGAATCAGTAGTCCTTGTTCTCTAAATCATTACTCTTCCTTTTTACAGGGAAAACTTTGTGTTTTGTTTCAGAGTTTGAAATTGCCTATGATCTCTATTGTTTTTGTCTTTCTTTGCAGTAGAGTGCAGCACTGAGTTTCCTTTTCCTTTTGTCCTGTTTAAAAATAATAAAAGCTGAGATAAAAACCAATGACGTGTATTCTTTGTATATTTGGTCATATATATATATATATATATTAGTACAAAGAAAAAAGAAGAAATTAAAAGAAATGAAAGAAAAATAAGTTTCATAAGTGCTTTAAATAATGTCATTTAAACGTCAGGGCTGCAGATAAATTCAGAGAATGAAATCATTAGGGAAACTTCACTCACTAAGCATTAAAACACAAAAACAGACATACGTCTGCTGAACTTCCTGTGCATTGGGTGGAGCTCTCTGGAGATGAAAAGAGAGTGATAGTAGCGAGTGAGTGCAGCACAAGCAACGATTTGAGGAGAGATGTGTAACTTGTCTTGGATATTTAAAGACGTTTAATAAGCGCACCATGAGAGCCTTCCTATTTCTCTGGATTTTATGGGATCAGACTTTAGGTATGTCACTGAATAATGTTTTTTGTGTGTTTGAGCTGTAGCTCTGTCCAATAAAGCTCTTTCTGATAGAAGTTCAGTTCATTTTACTAGAAAAAAAAAAAAGTCAGAACCTGAATAAGTCACAAATCATTGTCTCGGGTATCTTAATTTAATTTTGTTTTAACTGACCTCATTTATATATTTACTCAAGATAGATTGTTATATATATATATATATATATATAAACGTCAAGTCACCTTTATTTTTAGTGCTTTACACAATACAGATTGTCAAACAGAAAAATAGGAAAAACTTAAGCTTACTTTAATATGTTACATAGGCTATATTACACATTTTAAATATTTTAATTTATTATTTGTGATATTTTAAGTTATTCTTAATGACACTGTTAACAAATATATGCCTTTTCAGTAACCGATGTATTTAATATGTATTGAGCAGGATAAAAAAAAATTGTTTAAATTAGGCTATATACGGCCAACAATGCACATATTAACCAAAACCAATTGAAAAATATTTCTTGCGACGGCTACATGATTTCTTTTAATTTTTTTAATTAATATTTTATCAAGACTTTTCAGCATCTGAAGATTTTCATTACATCCAAAGGCTTGAGGGTGAATCGGTGGACATAGATTGTGTTGCACAAGCAAGTAAACCCCGCCCAGCGCTTCTGCACCTGAGACGAAGGTTTGCTCCTTCAGAAAGTGTGTTGAACGTCTCTGAAGATAACGTCATGAGAGCAGATCCAGAGATTGAGGGACGAATCAGTATCTCCGGACAGCTGAAGTTACGCACAGTTACTCTGACTCTTTCTCATTTAAGAGCCACAGACTCGGGGCTTTATGTCTGCGATTTCTCAGGAAATCCATCAGATCCGCTCCCGGCGAACACAGCTCTCTTTCTGCTTATAAAAGCGCCAGGTTGGTGAATGCGTTGATTTCAGACGCATATACAGGTCTAAAAAAAAGCGTAAATGATCTTTAGGGATACAGTGGGGATACAGATAACAGTAAATTATCTTTAGGGATCATATCACGTACTATCTAATCGTTCTTGATTTTCAATTACAAAATCATTTGAAAATGTCATATACTATACGGTGGCCGAGAGAGCTCAACGCGCTGCAAATGAAAAAAACATGCAAATAGAAAAAACACCTGCAAATTAAAAAAAAATTGATATTTTTGATTTTCAGGCGCAATGATATTACACAGCGCCTGAAAATAGTCCCCAGCTAGAGGTGACAGTATATTATTGTGATGTTACTGTGAGGGAAAATCCACAGTACTGATTCAACTTCAGTAATTTAACAAAGAATTATTTCAAAAATGACAGTGACAGCTGATACTCTATAGCAGTGATGGGCAAACTTGGCCCTTCCAGGCCACTTTCCTGCAGAGATTTGATCCAGCCCTGATAAAACTCACCTGCCTGTAGCTTTCTAGTAGTCTTGAAGACAATGATTAGCTGGTTCAGGTGTGTTTGATTAGAGTTGGAGCTAAACTCTGAAGGAAAGTGACCTGGAAGGGTCAAGTTTGCCCACCCCTGCTTTAAGGGAACCGCAAAGTGGCAAACATGGCTGGGACATGCTTATCAATGTCTACTCTGAAAGGTGAGATTTTAGTTTATTTTAATACCCTGATAATATTCATTAGCTCTTTTTTTGTGGATATTATAAGCTGACGAAATACATAATTACTGTAACTGTGAAAGGTTATGTAAGCTGGCTAATTTACCTTACAACTTACCTTACAAAAATTAACCACAGCCTACTATTAAAATGAATTAATAAATACATTTATTATATAAGAAAAATGAAAACAAAAAATGGTTACTGTAACCATGCACAAATTAACCATGTATTTACTACATTAACCATAGTTTTAACCATGGTATTGTGCAACTGGTTATACAAATGGTAATCAATACGCCAAAAAAAAAACTGGTTAATTTTCGTTTTGTTGGGTACATTTTGTTGTGGTCTGTGCTATTTGGTTGTGTTGTGAGTATTTGCAGCGCGT